CCTGCCGCCGCCCCCGCCCCCCCACCCCACCCACACCTTCCTTCTTATCCTTGTGCCAAGGAGGGAATCTTGGTGAATGAGTTTATTACCTCTTCGCACCCCCACCTGTACATCCCATACTCCGTCTTCCAGGTCTAGGGAATATCCATTTTTATGGCCAGTCTTAGCATGTTTTCTTAATCTGACATTTCCACCCCAGGCCCAAGAGAGATTCTATGACATATATTACAGAGAGAATTATATATAAATATATATATAAATATTATAGATTATATACACATGGGCATGGGCTCGAAGGTCCACTGCCAGCCCCCCTCCCCAGGCTACAGACTCTCTCTCTTGGCCTGGGGAGGCGGAAGGGCTGTATCGTTGGAGAGGGCTCCAGGCTGTGTTCAATGGCACTAAACAATGTGGTGGCACCTTTGGCTATGAGTGTCTTATTTGGGGGATGATGGAGGCCGGGCACAGGGTGGGGAAGGAAGAGAATGCTGGGGAGGGGGCACAACTGCAGAACCAAACGAGGCATAAAAGAAGGGATGGACAAAAGCCCTGGGGGTGGGAGCAAGGGTCTCTGGACGCTCAGAGCACCTGGGACCACTTATAGAAAAGGCAGGGTGATGGCAGGCTCCCCGTCGCTGGTTTGGGGAAGATAAGGACCTGACTTCCCAGGTGTGGGAAGCATCAGAAAGGTCTGCCATCTTGATGCTGAACCCCTAGAAGAGAAATACAAGAACCAGTCCCTGAGAAGCTATAGTCTCTGGGTGAACCAGTGGCCCCACTGCCCTGAGCTTCCGCTCTTGGAAGGAGAAGCCCCAGCTAGAGCACCTCAAGGGCAGAGCTGACCCTTGGGCAGGACAGATCAAGGACTACAGTGGAGAGGGAGTGACCTGGAAACTGGAAGCTGTGATGTGAGTTGGGAGGAATTCCTGCCAGAGGGAGTTAAGTAAATCCATTGGGGCCGCAGGACTGTTGGGTACCACCCCTTTCACACAGAGCCTTCCTGCGACCTTTCCTCTTCCAGGCTGTTCCCCCACAGGCTCTTTATCCATGCCTCGCTGCTTAAATGGAGGACAAAGGAGGGGGAAGTGGGATTGGCCTTTTCCAGCCCTAGTAATGGCTCTGCCTGGGGACAGATAGTGGGAGCCAGGATGGAGTTTGGAGGCAAATTTCAGGGAATGGCTGTGGGCAAGTGGAGGGCTCTGAGAGAAGGGGCTGTGGACCCATGAGGTGATCCCATCTCCTCCTCCCACATGGCACTGGCAGGACCACAGTCATCCTGGGCCTGCCTTAACCACCCCCCTGCACCCCGGAAACTGACGGGGGATGGGCAAGGCCAGGAAGACATTGGGACAAGAACGCCGGGGAGTGTGGGGGAGTGAGGGGGGCCAGGCAGAGGCGGGCATTCCCCACCCGCACACAGGCAAACTTAAGAAGCCCGTGGACTACCAGGGGCCCTTCGCAGGGGTTACAACCACCGCCTGTCTGGGGACGGGGGTACGTGCCCAAATGATTGACCAAGGCTACTCCTGCCCAGATTCTGGCTCCTTCTCCAACACGATCAGGATGACATTTTAAAATTCCTAGCAGAGGCCGGATATTGGTGCGATCTCTCCGGCTTCAGGAAATACCCTCTTCCACACAGGTCCACCCTCTGGCCTGGGTCTCTGGACGGTCTTTATGCGGCGGTCTGGGAGGCGCTCAGAGGACCAGTTCATCTTCATCCTCATCATCGGTGGATCGCAGACTGGGGCCCTGCAGGATGTCGGCCAGCTCCCCCTCCGGCCCCGGAGCCCCCGCCAGCTCCAGTTCCTCCAGCTCACTCTCTGCCTTGGCCGGAGCCCAGGAGGGAGGGGGCTCTGGGGAGGCAGATGGCACAGGGGGCTCTGGGGACGCAGGAGCCACATCCCCTGCCCCAGTGGCCCCACTTCCATCCTGAGGCAGGCTCCAGGCCTCTGCAGCAGGGAGTGGGCCCCCAGGAGACTTTCGAGTCGAAGTTGCACTCCGGAAGCTGGCAAGAGGAGGGCGGAGCTGCACCCCAGACTTGGTGTGCCCCTCAATGGCCTTCTGCAGCTGGGGGGCAGAGGGAAGGGGAGAGAGGGTACAACATGGGGGGGAAAAGAAGATAGGAGCAGTGAGAGAAACAGACACGAGAGAGGAGCAGACGATAAAAGGAAAAAGCATGGGAAAGCAAGATGCACGGCGAGGATGCGTCAAAAGGAGAAGACAGAAAAAGGAAAAAAGGGGCCTGATGGACGAAAAGCCCCACCTACAGAGCAGCGAACCTCAAGACCCCTGACATAGGACCTCCTTCGGCCCCTTCCTGGCAACCCTCAGGCGTTCTTCAGCCACTTTCCATCTCCTCCGTGCTTCCACGCACCACCACAGCGCACCCCTATGAAACCATGACTCGGGCCCTGAGCCCGCATCCCAAGCCCATGCCGTCCTTAGAAGGGCGCAGGGCTGCACTTCCGCCCCCCTCCAGTCTCTGCATGAGAACTAGGAGGGAAATCTGGAGGAAACTCCCGGATGTTAAGGCCACCCCTACCCCCCCCCCC